ATGTTGAGGCCATGAAGTTTTACTTAACATTTCCTGAGTAGTCTGAGGTGTCTAGCAGGAGAATAGCCACATGTTGCCTTCACAGCAGCTGCTTTACGTATCTGCTGGTATCAGGCTCAGTATAATGGATCGTCAGAGGAGATGTTCATTACTGTCCCTGCTGGGTCTCTGCGGAGCTTTCTAAGAGTGACGAGGTCAGAGCCTGAACTCTGAATAAATCAATTGACCTCATTGATGTCCCAAAGTATTGACATCTCAACACATCTACAACTCACTGTACAACTGTTTGTGTTTAGCACTTGGTAGCTTGTAGCAGTTGAGAGCAGGTGGGACCCATATAGGCCGCTCGCTGGTACTTCATCACCTCGCTTCTTGTTGTCACAGCCACAATTGGTTTGTTCTCCCCATCTGCTGCATCAGCAAAGTCAGGACTGATTTGGTCACTTTGGAGCCCAGTTAGCTGTGCTCACTGCACTTCCCTGTTGATTCCAGCCATCATTACAAATGGTATCTTTATGCGGCGGAGTTAACCCGGATAGCGCTCTCCCCTGGGTGCCTTTATTATCTATTCATCATGTTGTCCCAGTTTATCTCAGGATGAATCTGGCTGCCTCACTACAGATCTAACTACACATACCTGGATATGTGTGGCCTAAGGGAGAGAGATTAGAAGATTACATGATACTCAGCGGGGTTGCTTCTGTAAGAGCTGATAAGGAGGTGAAAAATATTCCAAGAAAATGCAGAATAGCTATGGATTTGTGTTTGTGATCTTTTAGCACCGATTTGTCTTCAAAGTAGGCATGAATTTGTTAAAAACCATTACATCCAGGATGAGAATTCACCAGAAAGGGCTTGGAGGCAACCTCAGTGTGTCCAATCTGGTAAATAAATGAATATTTGAAACTACTGAGATGTAATGTTTTGGCCTCGTATTCAGCCTCCAAGCAGGCTCGATGGACACTCCCTCAAATGTCCTCCCTGCTAATTTGCATTGCTGAGTAGATCCTTTGTGTCACCTGGAGGTTTGGGGCTGAGCAATGTTGCAGCCAATTTCCAGATGGCGATTCAGATGTGTGACTTATCCCCAATTTTTTGACAAACATGAACAGCCACTTTCCACAGACTCCATTAGCCGGTCGCATGCCTGTACATGTGCACAAATGGAAAGTGGAAAGTGTCCAGTGGTGTGAATATTCACATCTGCACCTGCTGAATAATACAAGATTATCAGCTCAAGTGGCTCGCCATTTACCCATTTACGCCATGACGGTAATTTTGTCTGGAACACTCAACAGGCTTGCAAAATGCATATTTCTTGTCTCTTAGACCTGATCTTGTCTTGTATTCTGTCTAAAGAGGGAACATATTCTTTAATAAGAGTGCTGGCTTCGGGGGGGAATGTGTCTGCAATATAGACCTTAAAGAGCCCCGGGTCCTGGCAGGTACTTCTTACATTTCAACAGAGGAGAGACAGCTACGGCACACTCTGTGGCAGTGAGGCCATATATCATCTGTCATAGCCAGAAGCCTCCACAGTAATGAACAAGTGATAATGGCATATATCTTGAACTTGAGTCTCTAAAGGTAGCTCATACGGAGTCATTATTGTGCCACATAACCAGATGAGCTTCCTCAAATGAGATCATTTTTGTCACCCTGAGGACTAGAGGGTGTAACTGTTCTCAGAGTGAATAACTCATCCTCATTTGGTGCTAATGGGACTCCGTATTAAGGTGTTGTGCGAATGCAAGAGGAGTGGTAAATCCCATTTTCTTGTCATATAAAAATCTCAAGCTGTTTCCACACATCTGTTCCTTTGGTAGAAAAGAAGATTCATTTGCACAGGATAAAAAGAGAGCATTTAATAAAGATTCATGCCCTGCAGGATCGTGACAATGTGTTAGGTGATGGTGTGTTATTCAGAAATATGTCATAATGACATCTCTCTGTCATATAATTATTCGATATGCCCATCTTCCAGCCTACCTATCTAGCTTCTCTCCTCTCCCCTGCCTCCGTCTGTCCATCCAGCTCAGCTTTCTGCAGGTATTGCAATGCTACAGTTAACCCATAATGAGGCGTATGCATATGAAGCCACAGGGGTTTCTCATGTTTCCCCAGGGGATGTGTTTGCTCTGATGGTTACAGCTGATGTGTCATTTTTCATATAAATAGGTTTAGGAAATCAGCCATAATACACAAAATCAGCAGCACAGACCCTCTCTTTGTCTTGTAGCAGTCAGCCAGAATGTTGATACGAAGCTCTTAACATTTACAAGCAATGTCCAGACAAGACATGCTGCACAGGCAGCTGCCTGAATGGACAATGTACCCCAACACATCTCTAGAGTCCAATTCAGCAAACACATGATTCAAGCTGTCAGTCATAAGTGCTGATGTAGCCATGCTTAGAACCGAGCAGCCAAGTCCCAAGAGTTGGATATCGCTGCTAACTGTCATCCAAGTACTTTGATTACTGGACTGGGGGAAAGAATGATGACTAAGGCCACTCTAAGTCCTCATACTCTGTGAGCCTGTCGAGGAAAGTGGATCAGGTCCAAGGTCCCATTTACACCCCTAATATTTATATAACGTGCAGGGGCATGAGGAATTCTGGGCCCCCGTTACAATATATTGCTGTAGGCCCCAGCATCACAACCCCAGCCAACCCTACACAATTGCTATACCTCACAGCTGTTACACTGATGACCCATTTAAAGCATATAAGACCTATAACTTTGTGTTATATCCTGAAAATAGTCATTACAGTAGTCATACAAGAGAAAGTTATTTTTGAATCAACACCTGAAGCTATAAGTCAAATTCATTTTTCCAACACCAACATTTCACATGTCAAAGTACAGAAAGGTTTATACAAGTATTCTACATTTTACATTTAACTGTATGCTGTTATCTGGTTTACATTGTCTCCACAGAAACCACAGAAAAATAATGCTTTAAATTCAAATGGAATTATGAATATATAGAGTAACTGAAATAGAAAGTAAAGGATTACCAAGACTGATATTGGAACAGCAGCCAAGTGTACATGCTGCTCCGTACATTGTGTACATATGGCATCGAATACACGTATGTCCGTCTTGCAAGAGGGAGCTTACCACTGTTTGTTTGTCTCAAGTTACTCATGGATTTCTTCCCTTTATGAAGGGTTTTTAATAAAGTATTTCTTATCTGAATCAATGAAAAAAGGTAGAAAGAATCAAATGCTGTATCGATTGTAAAGCCCTTTGGTGGAGCACGTGATTTGGGGTACAAAGGCTTGAGTGTTTGGTACAGTTCCGTCAAAGCAAGAAAGCAAATGGCAAGCAATGAGTGCAAATAGAAAGACTAGGCCTGTTTTGAGTGGAGCCTGCATGGTCTCTTCTGCCTACAATCAAAAGACAAATGGTGGAAGGATTAGTCACTGTAAGCAAAATTATTACAACTCCATTATAAAAATGTTTCATAATATGTCAAATCTCTGCTATGAAAATGCCACCTCATTAAAAGTAAACTGTTTCTTGCTAAGGTATCAAAATATTTAAAAGCAGACAGATGGCTATTATGAGTGTGATTTTTGATGTAAAACATACTGGATGACTAATTCTGATTTATCTATGTGTAAGCAAGCAACATTTGACTATTGTAGTGGGTCAATGTGGAGCTTATTTTATGTGATGGTGTGTAGTTTTAATTCCATAAATGCATTACATTTTATAAACTAGAAATGTGTTTTTCTGTGCAATCGTAATCTGTTAATGAATCACTTACTTGAGCTGATATATAGGAGTAAAAATGCTCTAAACAAAAGCTGAGTTAAAGTATTAATTTGCTTGACATTGAAATATAAAGTTAAAGTACACAGCATCTCAACAGACTAATGATGGGATATTTCCTCTGCTCTATCTTTGAACTGAATGCCCGATATTAAGCAGAAATGATTCAAATATCTCAAGTCAAACACTTTATAAAAAAAACATATAACTCTTAAATCTTTATCTTAAATTGGCATCTTAAGAAGAACCGGATCAAATAGCTCTCAGTAAATACTACAAAGACGCTTAAAGAACTCTTAAGAGAAAAGGCGCTGAAGAACTTTTCACTTCAGTGTGCAAATTGCTTGGGGGAAAGACAAATTCAGAAATGTAAATGCACCCCAGTGTGAGCTTGTACATAAAGGGAGATAATCCCCTTGGGGCCACATGAATGAGCGTCTGAATAACAGTGGAGTTTACCAGGAACATACTGAAATGTTCCATGTCCTTTTGCTCTTGAGATTAAAGCAGCACATGCCTGTGCATAAGGTTTCACTAATACCTCTAAGATCTGTTACTTTTTTGAGAGATGATTCATGGCTGCCAGCTTGGTTCCACATTTAAGCAAAGGGGGCCGACAATTGCAAAATAAGTGACAAGAGATTAAGGTCAGCTAGGGATGGTATGTAAAATATCTGAATTATTTAAAATGCTAGATGTAATACACTTCCAAAAGCAAGCAGGTGTGGCAACAAGGTAACTAACATGTGACAAGGAGGAATGTGATTGTGCACACCAATGTATTTCGGTGTGTTCTACTATGAGATCATGGCAGTGACATCAGCTGACCGGGCTCACACAGCATCCTACCCCCAGTCCTTCCCTCGTGTAGTGGGTGGGGAGCAGGGTGCTATCTGTGGACTTGCAAAGTGACAGGACCAGCTGGGGCATGAAATCCAGTAAGACAGGCAGTTGGTCTGGGAGACACAGACCATGAGCCTTCATAGTGCTCAGTTACAGCAGCCTGCAACCTAACTCTGTGAGGGAAAACTCAGCCAGGACTGACTCTATCTGCTGCCAAACATCAGGAGTTTCTCCAACAAACCTGGAGAACATGCTCTGTGTGACTCGTTCAAACCAATTTTTTGTATCCGTAGAAATCTTTTCAATGTTGGTGATTCAGCTAATTGCATAGTGACATTTTGATATTTAGGCGATCACATCGAAAGTTCTGCAAGAACGATGGGTGGGAAGCAATCTCGCAGTTTCTCCAGTAAGGACCTGAATGATTTGAGTGTAAGCCAAAAGAGGAAGAGCGCCGGAAAGGACGACATGCCGAGCCTGTCCTCGGCTGCTGAGAGGATCCGCAGACATGCAACGGTACACTTTGGATACAGCACCCTCAGTCTGGCCATGCGGGGACTGAACGGGACCCCCGTTGAGCTTTGGGAGCTCAGAGAACTGCAAAAACTAAACTTATCAATGAACTCCCTGTGCTCTTTGCCCCCTGCCCTGGGAACTCTGGACAACCTGGTGGTCCTCAACTTGTGGGGAAACAACCTGTCGAGCCTACCGCCTGAGATCGGCCTTCTCCAGAAGCTGCGGGTGCTCTTTGCCTGCCGGAACCGTTTGAGCGAGGTACCGGAGGAGCTCGGGTCCTGTGCTCGACTCGAGGTACTCAGCCTGGCTAACAACCAGATCACGGGCCTTCCTGGCAGCTTGGCAACCATGAACAGCCTGACCAAACTCAACCTCAGCCACAACCGAATCGTCCACATCCCAACATGTGTCTACAGCATGAAGGGCCTGGTCTTTCTTCACCTGGCTTGTAACCGATTGGAGACCATTGCGGACCAAATCCAGGACTTGGTAAACCTTAAGATCCTTATCGTGGAGGGGAACAGCATTCACACATTGCCTAAAACGCTGTGCTTCCTGGAGTCTTTAGAACTGCTCAATGTTGACTTCAATGACCTGCAAAATGTGCCGATGGAAATGTACCTACTGAGCAAGCTTGGGAGGTTGGCATGCCACCCGATGGATAAAGGACTACATATAATACACAACCCCCTCCTGAAGCCCATACAGGAGGTACTGCAAGGAGGACTCAGTGCCCTCTATAACTACCTCAAGCCCACGTGAAAGACTACTACTGGGTGTTTGCATCCAAAGCGCGTGTCATTCTGGGATGTTGGCACAAACCAGGCCCCTGGCACGTGTTAGTCATGCTGCGAGTCCTCGCTGTTACCAGACACTGCTGGATCATATTTAGATCCCACCACTCAAGACAAATGACCATTATGCAATGTCTCTATAAATAAGTCCTGTTTTTCATGTAATGTAAAGGTTGGGTTAAAAATAAACGAAAAGTAAGTGCTGTGTCATGTCCAAGCATTTGTTTATGCACAACCTGACAAGACTCTCAGCTCACGCAAATATTCACAGGTCTACATTTGGCCGCTGATTATGGGCTGGCAGGTCTCGTTGATCCATCTGTGGCAGTGAGGGGAGGGCACAAGTGTTCATTCAGCCACAGACCTTCACCCCCTCTTTGTAGCATTCAGGTCAAAGGAATCAGTTGTGTAAAGTCATTGGAAAGAACAGTTCAGGAGAGCTTAAGATCTGCAAATAAATACATAAAACAAGTGACAACAGGGACTTAGACTCTGATTAAATGTTGTTCCACTCCATCAGATCAGGGCAAGGGCTGCGGGGCAGCAGCTCCTCTGAAGTTGTTGGATGTTGTGACATGAACAAAAATCATGCAATGCATGACGTCACTGGAATTTCATAGAAAACCGAGCAAATCTGGAGTACTGTGGAAAAAATAATTAAATTCAGGTCAAAGAATTTATAGCAAACTTCTCAAACAGCCTGTAAGTGGTCACACTAAAAAAAATGTAAGGATAAATCCAAATTGACATTATAAGGACTCTTTAATTGATGATAAAATTGTTATCACTCCTATTGTCCAAAGCAGATAAAAGGTGTAGTTGTATTGTTAGAGTAAAATGTAAGAAGTTGTAAAGATTGCACCCTTCCAGCAAGGATTTCTGCCTAAATAATAATTAAACAAATGCCAAACATTTTTGAAGTATAGGTTGAGATCACATTCTGTTGCACTAAAAATGAGTTAAAGTCCCCAAGGAATTAAAAATACATTTTCCATTGCAAATACATTTTACGACATACTCTGTGTAGTAAATTTGATCTATAGATGCTAATTTTTTCCCATTACTGTGGTAAGTAAACTGTGTTAGGCGGTACGTTTGTCCAAAAGACTGTAGAGTGTGTACCTTAGTCACCCTTTTAAACACTTACAGTTCCACATAGATTGTGAAGTGAACACGTCAAGTGACCTTTATGACGAGTTGGATGCATTTTTATTAATCATGGTTTCAAAGTGCATCATAAATGTTTCCTCTAAACAGAAGTTTAAATCCTGATATCTCTCAAATATCACTCAAAGAATACTTCTCAGTATCGTTTTGTTTACAACAGAGTTTTAATGCTTTGTTTTTCCTAATAAATGTTGTATCATGAAATCACAATCTTCTTCAATAACTCCTACAGCTAACATTAAGGTGCTTGTATTCAAGTGACTTTGTTTTGAACTGCAACATACATTGAGGCTTAACGACAGGATGAGTAAATGTACATGCACACACCTGATTTTTGTTTGTATACCAAAAGGTCACTCCTGTAAATTTGAGTTTTTGACAACTTGGCTGCATACTGAGGTTTAGATGTTTCCACACATTTGACCACTCACAATGAAGATTCAGAAGACTTCAGAAAAAGGCAGAAAAGTGACCTCTGTTGGTAGCTACATGTTACTACATTTATCAAAGGGAATACCAAGCTCACCCTCTCTGCTCGCTCTCTTTCAGTGCAGTGCTTACGGACACACACACATGCACACACACACACGCACACACACACACACACACACACTCACACACACACACACACATTCATGATAGATGAACCTGAATAGGTCTTTGTCCTAGATAGTGATCATGGGACATGCTGTCAAATAAAGCTCCTATGAAGAAATTGCATCACTGTCAGTCTGATGACCTGAATTTTTCAGTGTTTTGTGGTGTTCTTACTTTTCTAGTGATAATATAATAAACAAGGACTTTGTCTGCTTGTTTCACTTGTTTAACATCATTATGTAACCTAGATATTTATAAACACTCAAAGACTTTCCCTAAGACTAAAACTTTTAATCAGAACCAAAGTACTGTCTGGGATCCCTTCAGGAAATGCAAACAGTCTCTTGTGTATAGTCAAAGAAAGGAAACTTTATCCAGGGTGACAATTAATTAAAATTACCTTTTACAGTGTGACAATCAACCTTACTGCTGCTCACTCACTAGTGGTCAGCTGTACACCGGGGATCACACATGACTGCAGTTAGGAGGCTTTGTAGGATTTACTGATTCTATTTAATTGCTGTTTGCTCCAATAATTTTGCTTTTTAATAAGACAAATAAGACTGTGAAATATAATAACTGTGAGTGCATATTGGCACCTTTGTTCAAAGGTATTTTGTATTCATAAGGCAAAGCTTCGAAAACAGTTTAGCATCAGTAGCAGTCAGTGACTTCCCATAATGAAGGACAGCTAATCAATCCCATATCGAGCTTTTGACAATCAAGGCACGGGATAATCACAATGGAATTAAATGACAAAATCACTGTTGTCTGGCAGCCACACAAGGAGAGGCTTATTTAGTCTTTCTCGGGAGTGCAGTTGAAGTTCTTTGATTTCTTCAGTCACACTGAGACTTCTCACATAGAGGGAGTTGATTGGCATTTATTGACAAACAGAATTACACTGCCACTTATGTCAATTACTGCATGGTGTTATTTAGCTCATTGCACTCATGTTTAACCGATTCAAAGGGATCCCGCTGAGTGAAAATGGCAGATTTGTTGAATGCCGAGAGGTTCCTCATTGGCTGGTGGTGTCTCTCCATGATAAAATGTCTATAACTCCTACTCTCTGGCTCAGGATGTTGTTCAGAGATGAGCAGGAGTGAGTCACTGAAATGGCCACTGTCCTAACCTTTAAAGCCTAAACGTGGAATCTTTTGATCCTGGTCTGGCATCTGTTTTGGTGCCACTTCCTCCAATCCAATCAGTGTGATGTCATGGTCTTTCTTGTGTCTTGCTTTTAAAGTGTGATGAAAGAAAGCTTTTAAAGGTTATACTGTGTATGGCAGGCCAGCATGCATTATTTGTAAAGGTGGAATTGGTACACAGGCTCGTTATACTGTCTCATAGATGGAGAAACAGGTATATCTGCAGGTAAATATAATTTACAATATGGAATTATGATTTAATTAAAAATACATCCACATATTCAGCTGGCTGTACAATCTTAATACCCGGTGATTATGATGACTATAAAGATAGCGTGCATGGAACAGAATTGCCTTCAGGGATGAATAAAGTTTTCTAAGTCTAAGATAGCAAGTGGTAGCCTTTTTGGTCACCATTTAAACCGCCAAAGAAGAATAAAATATAATCGTAGCGAAGTGAAACGCCATGAGGATGAAGCTCATTCCAAAATGTGGGTAAACCGCAGGTTGGCCTGCTTTCTGTTGGACATGCCAGTGCCAAACACCGCCGTTTAATTTATGCTAGCTTGCTAAATTATCGGCTTTTCCATCACTTTATTACATTAATGTAATGTTCTCAGGTAGCTTTCAGTGTAGGTACAGTCAGTACACACTAACCATGCAATGGACATGCCCTTCGCGTGGCGATTAGGCCAAGAGGAGGGGCCCAATTAGAATATTGTTTTTACAAGTTGCAATGAACATGGCTACAGACTGTACCTTTTAACAAGTGGAAATTTTCTCAAAAAACATTAATTAACAAAAAGAAATGTATCAACATTTGAAATATTTAGATTAAAGAAATGCGTAAAATGTTGAAAAAGCTAACTAGAAAGATACATTGTCAAATAGTAAGCTAAAGTTACCAGCTAAAATAATAAGCCAAAGGATAAATGATGGAAATAGTTAGCTTGATATGCCTAAAAAGTTGAAATAGTTAGGTAAAAGTGATTAGCAAATGATTCAAAGAGTAAGCTGTAACTTTGAAGCTAATTTTAGCGAGAGGCTCACAAAGTGTCTCATTACTAAGCTTAAAGAAAGGCACTGCCATACACTTCGTTGAACGTAATAGATAAAATGTTAATTTAAATATAGCTAGATAGAAGGATATTGATAAAAAGGTTAGCTAAAAGTAACAGAATGACAGTCGGAATTAATATGGGTTGAAATAGTTAGCCCAAAAGTAAAAATTGTTAGCTAATATTGAACTAACAGTTGCACTAGTTTGCTAAAAGTATGGCTTATTGATCTGCAGTTAAATACAATAAATAACTAGAAGTACTGCAAAAATTGTGTAAATATCTATGTGATAAATAATGTTGAAATGGTTGGGCTGAAAGGATAAATGGTCAATCAGTTAACTAAAAGTAATAGTTTGAGAGTTAATCCAGTCAACTAAAGTAAATGGTCAAACTTAGCCAAAAGGATATAGTTAGCTAAAAACAAATCAATCAATAGATTACAACTTAAATAAAATATAAATCACTAAAATAGTTATCTCAAGAAATAGAAAGATAATTTAGTTTAATAATAGTAATGTATTAGCAGTTTAAATAATTTACCTAAAGTTAGCTAAAGGTAGGCTATTTGAACAATGTCGGGAAACTATAGCTTGTGTATAATTAAGAAAAATAAAATAAGGGTATGAAGGAGAGATGACCAAATTCTGTTGCTTCAATTAGCCTATAGACCAAACCAGTCGAATGAAAACGTGACTAGTCTTCTGTATAAAAAACGGTTTAAAGTATATTTTAAACTATAATATATATAGACATATTTTTGTATGAGCTTACAGTTGTTGATGAGAGGGCACTTTATAGTTGATCTGATAGGTCAGTGAGAGAAGCCTCATCAGACAAAAGGGTTGCAAACCACTAGTGTGGCACATTACATATGTGTAGAACATGACTTACTGTGTTTATGGAGAGCTACTGAAACACAGCCCTCAATCACACACATAACACACACCCTCTCCTCTATCATGGGTGCAAACAATGATGCCATCCATTCATTC